AATATGGCTTGTATCATCATATGTTCAGTAAAAATTAGAAAAAGTACTACTGTCATTATTTTCAAATGTCATTCGCCGGGTACAATCCAAACACAGTGTATGACAAAATCATTCTACACTATTATTCTAACATCATTACATGACTACTCACAAGTAACTGTGAGTTAAATGCGAATAATCGATCTGGGGCCTGGTAGGTTTGTGGCAACTTGTATAGAAGCCCGGATTGGGTGGGAGGCTGTCGATTCGAGTTACCAGTATGTCATCTGTGTCTTCCTTCGGAGCTGTCGGGCCAACAATGAACTGACTGACTATCACTGAAGATGACACTCGGAACAAATACGAATTGGTAATTCGGTTCGGCCATGTTATGAAGTGGTTAGCACAGTGGTAACGCGTACGCCTTCGAGACGCGATGGGTCAGGAGTTCAAATCTCATACGAGACGGTAGACGTGCACTAATAATGAGCTCCAATGGGAGCGAAACTCGATTCTAGTGCATCTGATTCTGTGATCAAATCGATGAACTGAGGACTGTATTTGATGGAGAACTCTGAAGGATAATCAGTTCAAATCAGTCAACTCAAATACATCTTGTTCGTAATAAATTGTATGGTATTGTGCATAACTTTTGCAAGTACTGGAGCTCACATTTCAGTTACAAACTCATTCACGCTAGCCGTCACAATGTACATAATCAACGAAGAGAAAATTTTTTACAGGCATGGGGACATTTCATAGTCCAAGGTTAAGACAAAGTTCACCTATTGTCCGCTCTTTGTTGATGAGTAGACGAGCAAGATACAGTATAGGTGAATTGCAGTATGCATTAATTCGAGATGAAATTTGGCGGAATTGGGAGAATGTTGAATTATGGGAATGACAAAGTGTCAGTTCTGCATGCAATGTGTGGTCAGGATCTATGAGAATCCTCTCGGCAAATTTCACACAGGAAGTTACGTGATACTCGGAAAGCTTTACAGCTAATTTATTCACAGTAATAGAAGAGACACGACCAATAATGGTTAGACCGCGGCGTAAGACTTTGAAATCCTGTTTGAGTAAACCAAGAAAAATAACCGGGGAACACAGAGTAAGATGAGGAAAACACAATGATAAACGAAAGTAGAAGTAACTGACTCGGATGCGCGAAACTGCCTGTGCTGTCGTGTTTAAAATGATAGGTGCCTCAATTTATCAATGCAGTTGTGGATGTGCGTTGATAAATGAAGATTGCTATCTATGGTTACACCAAGATATTTGACAGAGTTCATTCTGGATAAAGGATTGTTATTATCCACTGTGGGGTCTGTCGGTTATGGAGAGCGAGTAAAACTATATAAACACTGAACACATTTACCGGGGTTTCCGGGTTAGCCCCGATGAGGAGGAGAATGNNNNTTGATCAAGATTATCGGTAAAAAAACTTAGGTCAGAGTAAGAAGAAATGCGTTGGCACAACACGACGTCATCTGCATATTTCAAAATTCGTGCAGGAGAAACACAAGGAATATCACAAATATAAATGCGAAATAAGTATGGGGATAGAACTGCTCCTTGAAGGACCCCAGAGTTGTTGACTGAGGATTTCGATATGGCCTTCTCCAATCTAGTGGTTTGTAGCCTGTCGGTAAAATAGTTGGATAGCCAAGCTAGCAACTGCGTGGGGGCATTCAATCGATTCCAGTTTTTGTAACAACTTAGATCGAGGAATGGAATCAAATGCAGAAGAGTAGTCCAGAAAAACACTCCGAACAGACTTAACAGAGCTGTTTAAAGATTTAGTGATGAAATGAATGAGGGTGGAGACTGCATCCAAGTTGAACCTATTAGATTAGAT